ACCCTGCCTAGGAATGCCCGCTGCTCCAGACTGGCATCCATCCATCATTTTGATATTTGCATAACTTCTCCCACAAGCCAGCTTGCTGCTTGTATTCGGGCTGAGGAGTACTGAAGCAGGGTGCTGTGATGTATGCAGGAAGGCTATGTGCAGGGCCCTGCCAGCTACTCCCACCAGCCATGATCTGCCTGCATTGCATAGGGAAGTGCAGGTTGTAATCAAAACAGAAAGGCTTTATTTAAAAATGTCATTAGCATCTTGAAGGGGGGCTGCCAGGGAAGGCAAAATCCAATCAAATTAAACTTCAGATGTCAGTTTTGGATATTTTTTAATCCAGATCATGGCTGGTGGGAGTAGCTGGCAGGGCCCTGCACATAGCCTTCCTGCATACATCACAGCACCCTGCTTCAGTACTCCTCAGCCCGAATACAAGCAGCAAGCTGGCTTGTGGTAGATCCTACCTTCTTTTTGAGGAAGTCACCTGACGAAACACATCAAGGAGGGCAGATGCTAGTTTGTTAGACACAAGATTTTTATGTTTGTTCCTGAGCTGCTTTAGCCGGCCGGCCGAAAGTTCATGATTTTACATACTACGCTATGAAGGTTCTCTTCTTTGTTCGTCTCTAAAACCCTGTGGGACCACGACAAAGCACTTTGCTAACACCGCGTCTAAAAGGATCGATCTTCTCATCCCTGAGATACAGCCAGCGTCATAGGGGAGAAAGCCAAATGTTCGTCTGCCGGGACCCGTAGAGAATACGTTTTGCGCTCAAGTCCAACTACGCTATTACTCACTAAGAGCTCTTTTGACCAACTTCTATTTGGTGAGTACCCACCTGAGAGGGGCAGTTCGGATCACCTGTAAATACACTGCTATCTTTGCTTGCATACGGTGTTCACCGTTCACTGGACTTTTTTCATAGGGAACACTTTGGGATGTTTTTATAAGACTTTTATATGACTTCATCTGGCATTTTGATTGTTTTTTATGTTTTATCTATATTACAGCACGTTTGTATTGATTCTTAGTCACATGTAACATATATAAATAGGCTCTAGGCCGGTTAGCCTGAAAACCTATTTTTCACCTTTTATACACATTATTTAGTAATTTTACCTTTAGCGCTTTGTATTTTATTGAGAAACTAGAGAATGCTTAGGTCCAGGCAGAGGTCAGCAACGGGCAAGGCAGCAGAATGGTGGGGTTCAGGCAGATAATGGGGTCCAGGCACAGGTCAGCAACGGGCAAGGCAGCAGAATGGTCAGATTCAGGTGGATAATGGGGTCCAGGCAGAGGTCAGCAACAGGCAAAGCAGCAAAATGGTCGGGTTCAGGTGGATAGTCAAGTCCAGGCAGAGGTAAAAAATGGGCAAGGCAGTAGAATGGTCGGGTTCATGTGGATAGTCAAGTCCAGGCAGAAGTCCGCAGCAGCATGGACAAGTTCAAGTGGATGGTCATAGGCAGATGGCAAGCAAAAGAGTAGTTAAGTCAGCCCAAGTGAACAATGAAACAGGCAATTCAAAATGTATTCTCGCCCTCTTGCACAAGCAAAGTACCTGGAAAGGAGACCCAGCACCAGCCACTTCCAGAGCTGGTGCTTAAATATACCTTGGATCAGAGGACACACCCTGCAGCACTGGAGAGAAATCTGGAATTCCTGGCAAGGATTCTGAGAGAACCATTTATGGGTACTGGCAAACATTATTCAAGTGCCATTACAAGTCCTGGCAAAGATTTTACGAACACCATTAGCACTACTGGCAGACCTGGAGGTACTATAACACCTTTTCTGTTGATACTTGTGCAAATAACAAAAGACTTTGGACTCCTGAGATGTTGCTGCTGTTAATGACTCAACTGCATGTAGACCTCCCAGTTTAGGTGACCCCCTACTTTCTGGGGGTCCTGATTTGTGGAGAGCAGCAAAACCCAGAAGGCTTCAATAATGATGGTTTTCTGTTGGCTACAGATGTCCAGTGTTTCATAGACCTTTTCTTGAGTAATAAAATCTTTTTGGGTAGAGTGGGGAAGGATTAGACCCCCCTGGAAGATTCCTTTAATGAGACAGAAAGTAATGATAGATAGCAAAGAAAAAAAGAAAGAAGGGAAAAAAAACTTAACTATCCCCTACTCCAGGGGTAGGCAAACTCTGGACCTCCAGCTGTGGTGAAACTGCAAATCCCATCATGCATCTGCCTCTGGGAGTCATGTCTGTGGCTGTCAGAGTCCTACAATGGGATTTGTAGATGGACCACAGCTGGAGGGCCGGTGTTTGCCTACCTCTGCTCCACTGTATGCAAACCAAAAAAAAAATATGTTACATGCAATTTAAATGTAACCTTATGTAGAACTAGTAAATATATCTTTATATCCAAATCCGATCCCCAATATCAGCCTCCTGCAATCCCAGACTGGGAGGATCAGCATCCAGAGCCAATCAGGTTTCTAATGTTTGTACAGAACAGTCATTAAAAAAGCTGACAAGAAGGGTGAGCAGAGAGCTGGCCTCATGAATATGTAGGTACTCCATTATTGTCCAATCACAGGCTAGGCGGGGTCATAGACCAGCCTACACTATCTAAGTATATCTAAAGCCCACATCTATTTTAAGTTTAATATTTTAGAGTTGGGAAGATTCAAAATCTCTGTCAGGTTTTATTTCTGTATGTGTCCTGATGACCACTGCCATGGACAGAAGGTGATGGGAGATCAGTGGCGTCACTAGGTGCTACCATTGGTGCTACCATTGGAGGGGTGACACCAAAATGACTGACAGTCATTTTGGTGTCACCCTCTATGAAATGTCGGGCACTCGGTCACGGACCGTGAGCCCGACAGTGTCAGGAGAGAGGAGGGGACCCAGGGGCATACCTTATCCCGCCGGGTGAACGTTCCCAGCTCTATATGCCGGCGTCCATCACGAAGATGGCCGCCTGCAGGCATCAAAAAGACCAGCGCACACGCGCGGCAACGTCGCGCGCATGCACGATGACGTCTGCCCCCGGGTGACACCCAGCCTCAAGACGCCCCTGTGGGAGATCAAACATTTTACAGTTCTTTCAGAACAGGAATATAGAGGAAATCCTCCAATAGGGACATCTGTTCTGGTGGCCATTGTGTAAGGTGAAACTTCCTCCTTACTTTAAAGAGATTTGATTTGACTACCTGTTGCATCTCCAGGACAGGAAGTGAAATCTCTCTAACAGGACGCAGATTGTGATATAAACAAAAACCTGATAGCCTTTTACCAAGATCTAATGTAGAGAATGTACTAGGCCTATATTTAATCACAAGCATGGAAATAGTAATATTCTTACAGTTGTAATTAGTAAGGTGGCTTAGAACAGCACTCGTATATGAAGATACTGGGATTTCTTGCTGAAAATGTACAACAAAATGACTGAAACAAAAGATAAATATAATGCTGAGTCAGGAATGTATGTTGTTTTATTGCTATTTTTATTATAGGAAATCATCTTGTCATTAGTAAATCTATTAGTACATAAAAAAAGTTTCTTAACATATAAAGTTTTCTATGATTGTGGTTGGAGAGAGTTCTGTGTTCTCCACTTTACTGTCCACATATTAGTTTCTTTATATCCAAATATTCTGGCTCTCCAGCAGCTTTCAACAACTGTCCTCTGATTCGTTTTCTGCTGTTCTATCATCTTCCTGTTTATTCTCTCCTTTATAGATCTCACTGTGCACTGTTTCTCTACTCCCACCTTCTGGCTCTAGTGTCTCATTCACCTTTTCCTCAGTTTCGGGGTCTAAAGACACGTCCCCTCTGGTAAGGTCAACTCCTTCATCCTGCTCCGTTTTGTCTTTCTCTTGCTCTGTGTTTTGTGTTCTAATATTCTCTCCATCATTGTCCTTTGACCCCATATTGCTTGTGTTTCTATTTCCTTCCGTCTTACTGATTCCGAAGTTTCCAACTTCATCCCTTTCTCCACCATATTGCAGTAATTGCGCCACATTGGCTGCTCTTTCACCTTCTGTTTTCCCATCATGTTTTTCAGCCTGCTCTGCTTTGTCTGTCTCAGGCAATGTGTTTTGGGTCTCAGTATTCAATCCATCATCGTCCTTTGACCCCACATTTGATGACTCTCTATTGCCTTCTATCTTACTAATCTCTGCGTTCTCAGCATAATATCCTTTTCCTCCGAATGGTGGAACTGGCTTCATGCTTGATCCTTCATTTTCTGTTTTCTCATCATCTCTTACAACCTGCGCTGCTCTGTCTGTCTCAGGCAATGTGTTTTGGTCCCAAGTATTCTTTCCATTATTGTCCTCTGACCCCACAGTGAATGACTGCCCATTGTCTTCTATCTTACTCATCTCTGTGTATATTTTTGTTTCCCCCAATCGGTTCTCTGCATTAGCTGTTTGTGTCCCACTACAATTTTCTGTTCTACTCTCATTTCTATGTCCATCTGAATCCTCACAACCCTCTGTATCATCATCTTCTTCTTCTTCAGTCCCTTTTAACTGTTTATTTCTTGAAGCCAGGTTTGTGCTCTTAATGTCCTTTGTGATCTTTTCTGAATAATCTTCACTGTTATCATTTTCTTTTACTTGTCTCTCTTCTTGCATTTTGACATTGGATATGAGTTTCCAATCTTCTGGCTTACTTTCACTTTCTATCCCACTGACTTCAATCCCTAATTTGGCAGTCTTTTCATTCTCCTCCATATTGCCTTCATTTATTCCATCAGCACTTACATCCTGCTCTTTATGTTCTGCCATGTTGCTTTCATGATCATTTAATAACCTCTCATGTTCTGATTTCATAACCAGTTCTGACCTTGTGTTATATTTTCCTGAAATATTTACAGTTTCATCATTCTTTTTTCCAGTCCCAGTACCTTCTGTTGTCACACTGAATTGGCCTTCATTTATTCGAACTTCGTTTCTTGCCTCACCTCCAAACCAGAAGATGCGACCTCTAAAAAAGCCTCTAATCGGCCAAAATCTCAGAAATAGCCTATTTACAAACCTATTTACAAACCTGATACAAACCAGAAAAGACTCAGCTATTTGACCTGAAACTCTCCTAACCAAGCCATGTCTCCTATTTTCTGGCATACTTCCAGAGACTTCACTGTCTATTTGCACTTTGACCTCTCCTGGAACGTCAGGCTCCCATTTTGACTCAGCATCTTGTGGCAGAGGATTAAACTTTCTGAGCTTGTCCACAGGCCCCCAAATAAACATTTCTTGTGGTTCGTAGTTCATCCAAGCAAAGTGCACCAGCTTTTGCCGTTCTTTCTTTTCCTTCACAGTGAACATGAAATAGTCCAAAGCACTTTCTTTCAAATTTGGTAGATTGCCATTGCACAGGGTCTCCTCCAGGAAAAACCTCACCAGTGGGGCCTGTAGTTTTTCGTAGCCCATCTCCCCCAGACACTTCAATATCCTTGTGATCCGCAAGCTGTTGTGTGTGTGACTGTGGGGAATAAAACATGTGTCCATTACCAACACAGATAAAAGCATTGCTAGGAGTCAATGTGGTCACAGCCTATCTCTAAATTATATCCTTTATCCCTGTTACCCGTGATACGCAAGCTAAAAACATTTTTAGTGCCTGTTTTTGTTTCCCTGTGTGGCACAAGAGTTGAACTTAATAGTGTCTCAATACTAATTCTAACTAAACAATTCTAACAGAGCTAGAAATGTGGAACTGTTGAAACCAGTGAACATGGAAGGAGGAAGATCACTTTATTGTTCACTGTAGATTGCTAACCTAGCAGAGTAGCCTCAGTGCAGAGCACGTGTCTGGGTCACGCTGACATTAGAGAGGCATGGCAATGCCGGTGGTACTACATAATCAAAAGATACAGACACGAAGGAGTGGTCTGTGCAGAGCTTATGTCCTCGTAGACGGGCTGCAGTGTGGATTTTGACATACAATTATGGTCTGGTCCTTCAAAAGCAACACGGAGGGGCATTAAGGGTCACTACAATGGGTAATAGTCTTGGCGCTATGTTAAATGCATCAGTGAAAAGTGGCACAAAGGTAAGTTGAGAGGATTAGGTAATCTAAAATGGCATGTGTCAATACCACAAACAAACTGTCAATATTAATGAACATAAGGTCCAACTATATCCTGCAAATGACTATCAATTGCTCTAAACTGATTCCCATTTTCAGGGATCCACCCAATGTTGGCCACATTGTTCACATAGGCCTTGACTTCTTCCACACCCTGTCCTAACCAGAGCCAAGCACTGCTCCAACCATTAGGCATCTCAAGGCAGAGCCTTTATTGCAACATTACCTTTCCCTACTGATAAACAACACAGGTTCCTCTTTACAAGTCAGTGACCTGGAACACGCATGCAGCTCTGAACCTCTAACTGCACCAGCTGCACACTTCAGTGGCTCAGTAATAAAACCAGGATGAGGATGACAGCCCTCAACCTTGCAGCTTAAATCAAAATTGGTGGTGGAAAGTCAAATATTTCTATACAGTGTCACTCACTTGTTCAGGTTGTAAAATCTATCCTCCCAGTTGTCTTCTGCCCGGGCGACCATGCCTGTGTCGGCGTCCACCAATACAATCCCATAAAATCCCAGCATGAGTTTGTATGACTTAAGAATCCTCGCCATGACCTTTTTATCCTTCTTCATCAACTAAAACATATGCAGAGTTAATAAAATGCTCATCATCCTAGTCATGGGTCACAAAGACTTTTTGATTAAATTGCTAGTACCTCAATCTCGCTCAGAGTGAGGGGAGTGGCTAACCAGTTCACACCGCGCTCCCGAAGAGGAAACAGCCTGGAATCAGAGAAGAATATCACATCCTAGAGTGGCAATAGTATAGAGAAGCTACAGAGCAACCAACGGGTCTATGATGCTGAGGGCCAAAACCTTCAAATGAGCATAACAGTATCAAATAACAGAGTCCTGTTGTTGACAGGAAGATGACCATCAAATGGGCTGTTAGTTATTGTGTTACGCAAATTTGGAAGCTACGAGACAGCGTGCATTATAAGACAGTTGAGCTAAGGGAACTTTACAGCTCTAATTATGCCAAACAAAGGGGCAAATATACATCTTTCATAAGCCAGCCTGTACAGTTAAAGTAGTTCAAAACTTAATCTTAATTAATACTAAAAATGTAATTATTAACTTAAGACAAATATTTCAATCCTTGCTAGAAAACCGGATCTCTTCAAGTATTGTTTATTATGAGACCCAGTTACCATCCATGTAAGAGAAGAAGACCTCCCTCTCCCCCAGAAAACACATTCTAAAGCATGTCAAGCAAACTTACCATTGAATGAAGTTATGGTTCATCTCTAGCGTCTCATATTCATTGCACCAACGTTCATGGATGTAGTCTATGTATTCTCCTGTATATGATACATAGAACCGGTCACATTTTCACCCATATATAGATGGAATACTGAGATCACTTATTCACTTATGACAGTTATCTAGAGAATAATGGTGGTGGCCACCTCTGGAGTCTTTCCAATAATCCCTTGCCCTGGGCTAACATGGGGCACTCTTATCAACTGCCCAGAACCAAACGGCTTTGCACTGAAAGATTGTGGAAAGAATTTGTAGGAAAAATCATAATGGGCTTTATTTATGAAATTGTCAGAGAGAACAGAAAGGACATAGCATTCCCTATCTGCCTTTGTAAACTGAGAGTCGCTCTAGTCATGTGATAGTGCTGGGCCAATCACCAAGACCTATTTCTGTCATAGCAAAGGAAGAGAAGTGAGTAAAATGCTCCTCTGTGCTCAGAAACAGGTATGTGCCATCTCCCGCAGGGCGATAAAGTGATCCTGTTGTTCTGCCACACATAACCATAGTACAGAATTGGTTTAAAAGAAATGCTGCTAGTGTGTTTCAAAAACATAATTCCTTTATAAATTTTTTTTTTTATGAATAATTCCAGAAAGCAAATTATAGCTTAACAACATTGTATTTCCCTTTAACGAGCCCATCAACCTTGTTCAGTAAGCTGTACAAGGATCAAAGCGCTGTGTGTAATGAGCTGTAACCTACAGCATCCAATCAGAATTCTGGTTTATCAAGCCAAACCAGTTCAAGGGGCAAGATGCATATTGGTTTCTTGGAAGTGGCTCTTTCCACAAAATGTTTAACTCATCTAGAGAAGAAAGGTGATATTATCCATACTGACCATCAGGCTCAAAGCGTATCTTGTTCTGGTAGAACAGAAGGTTTGGCTTGGGTGACTTGTCCTATGAACAAGAAAACACACATTAAGATTTGCTGACTTTGACAATGTGTAATCACTTGTAGGATGGTCACAAAAGAGGAATATGTGTAGCGGGTTGGGAAGATCTTTCTCTGCTCACTTCCATAAAGCATCTTGGGCTGTAGAGCTGTACAAGACGGAGTAAGCTTGGATGCCTCCTTGCTGATTGTTTCATAGCTGTTTGTATGACTTGTTACTAACTGGGGGCCTATTTTATTATTATTATTATACAGGATTTATGTAGCGCCAACAGTTTGCGCAGCGCTTTACAATATAAGTGTAACGGCTAGGTCAGGATATATGAATCTCAGCTGCGGAGTGTGCCTAGCTCAGGTGAAATTGGTTGAGGGTACGGCTTCAGGGTCGAGCTCCAGGCGTCACTCTCAACACAAACGGAGAGTTAGGAGCTCTACCATCATGTGCCGCAATTACTTAGGGGTAAGTGGTGATGCACACGAGTAGCCCCAGGGTATTTACAGCATACCCGGGTTACAACTGTTATGTAGGGTTCACGTGGATTCAATTATAGTACTACTTTGATAAGGTGCACAGACAAGAAGAGTTATCAGCATTTGATTCAAGCAGGCACAAATAATAGATTTGGTAAGTAGTATCACACAAAAGAATTATCAGCACTTCCCCTTTAACTGGCGTGGCTCAGATGGAACCTAGGCAGTCCATACAACAGGTTGCATGAGGTCAAAAAAGGAATGACTTTTAGAGAGCTCTATCTGGGACAGGCTGTCTCAGACTGAGCTGTACTTGCTATTAGGTGTCCTAGCACAACGAGGGTTCCTCCAGGTCACAGGTCCAATGCTCCAAGAAAGGGAATTCTGGTTGTCAGCTGGCGTTCTCTGGCAATAGTGGAACGCCATACTGATCTTTCTGTCAGCCTTTTATAGGGGAGGAGTGTGGGAGGAGCTGCTGACGTCACAGGGGCCGATGCGTTCCACGCTGGAACGCATCGGCTCCTCTACTTCCGTTCCGCGGCTTGCGCTCCACGTTGGAGCGCAGCCGCGATCGTTACAATAAGAAAGACATTACAATCACAATACAATTCAAGACAAGATGGTAAGGAGGGACCTGGCCCTGAGGGCTTACAATCTAAAAGGGAGGGGGATTTTATGCAGCTCAACCCCTCATTTTACAGGGAAAGGGCAATTTATCCTATTCCCTTTATTTGTGCAGCCTCGTCATGTTTTGCTGCTTTTTACAGTCATGGCACCTTTTAAAAGTATGCAAAATCTTGAGGCGCCCAAGTCTAAAATGTAAACAAAAGGAAATGTAAAAAAAACACCAGGAGGCCCAGCCCCCCAAATCAATACCAACCTCATCAGAGACAGGGGTCTGGTACAAATTTTAAGGGGGGACCCCAGGCCAAAAAACACAAAACAAATTGATGTGGAGTTTCCCCCTTCACTTCATGTCCCCCTCTTTACATCAGGAGCCCATCTGTACATCAGGAGCCCATCTGTACATCAGGAACCCCCTTCACATCAAGTTCCCTCCTTTAGTGCAAATTTGAAGGCACCACTCACAAAGCCAGAAGGCATCCCCTGGGTGCCACGGCACACTGACTGAGAAAGGTCTCGAGTACATAGAGCCATTCAGATTTGTCCATGCCTCCAGCTGGACTTATGCAGGAATCTGAATATACAGTCACTGTAAAGGTTCTCCTATATTAGAAACGCCCTATATGTTCACTTATTTAACTTTTTTAACCTGGAAATTTTTCTGGAGTATAAGGGGGTCATAGGTCACTGACCTACGAAAATGGCCATCTTGGTACATCTTCTTGATACCTGCCGGTGGCCATCTTGGGCCGCACCCCCCTTGTGATGCCACTGAAAGAGGGATAGAGGGATTTGGGTCCAAAGGAGGGACAGTTGGGTAGTGTGCATTATGTTTCTCTTTTAGGCAGGCAAAAAAAAATATAATGAAGTTATGAAATGTGAACCCTTGATGCCCCTTCACACCTGTCTGGTGTGTTGCATTAGTGCATGCACATTAATGATGTGCATTTTTTTATGTGTTAATGAGTGTTAATTGAATATGCGTTTCCAAGGTGCAGCTTGCACAAGACTGAGGAGAGAATTACCGGATAGCCATGTCTGTAATTCTGCATGTCCCGGGGTGCTCTTCTCCGCGGATTATGCTACAAGAATTCGAAAAACAAAATTAATAACTTTCCAATTTGATTTATTTCACACAAAAAATAGATTAGGAAAAAACATGCCAACAAATGGAAAAACATAAGCAAAGGTCACCTTTAGTGAAAAGATCTGTAGACCAAGACTATTCATGACTCTTAAACCACATCACTGGCCTTTTATTTGATTGATGGGTTCACTGGCCAATGGGTTAGGCAGGTTTAGAAGTCACATCCTTTTTACTGTTAATATATTGGTAAAAATTGTTGGGGTTCTTTTTACTATCTGCGTCTTGGAGAATCGCAATTGTTACAAGAAAAGTTGAGATCCTCATGTAACTTCAGCTGCTTATATTTCCTAGGTGGGTGCAGTAAATGTCTTACAAGCCTTGATTGTCCTATGTTTTGTTCTGAGTTATCCATTTTCAATAATGGATTGGGCCATAGAAAAACTAATATATCGGGTACACGTAGATGCTTTTCTCCTAAAAGGTCTAAAAGGTAAATATCTAATCACAGGATACATGTTTGTTAAGTTTGGCTGAGATTCATAAAGGAGTCTGTGGTGCCTTTCACAATAAAGGTAAACCAGAGTCTTCCAAACTCTAGTTTGTATTAAATTTGACTTTTATTCTCATACATGGTTGTCTACATCAACCTTCAGCTAGCTGGAATGGATACAAGAAGAAACTAGCTAGCTAGATGCTTTGTCCCTAGTTGCACAAGCAAAGTCAATTACAAAATCAGATTGCAACAAGGTAGACTTCCCCTTTATCAGCCAGGGATCCTACCTTCCTTTCTCATAAAAACAAGCATTCATTCTCCTATTAAAAAAATACAAAAAAAACATCATCCAAGGCAACAGAAGTCCAACCACTGGAACACTTAATGGATGGAGTGACATGTTAAAAGGGCCTCAGAGCAATCAGAACTTATTTTATGTTTTAACATTATCAAAGCTCTTACCATCTGGGCTATCACATCATCTTTGGGACACAATCATCTATTCTTCTTTTAAGGAATATAAAGTAAAAGCCAACTAGCCACGTAAAAAAAAAAGTAATAGAAAAACGACGGAATCTAAAACTTCAGCTACCAAGTGCACGGAGGACATTTGAGAAGAATAGGAGCTTCTTTAGCTTCTTTGGACTCCAAGGCTTTCACTCACAGTTACATGAACTTATTTTCTTTTAAATCTAATAAAGCTACATTATCCAGACATGTTCATTCTACTCTTTCAGAAATAAAGCCCTCAGATAATTAGAAAAGAGCATTGAAGAAGAAATAAAAAATACAGCACCACTTGGTCCCCAAGGCTTTCCGTCGGAGTTCTGAGTGAAAGTCTTATAGCCCCGGAAAAGCAACTTCACCGCTCACGTGCCCCAGGTACTAAACTCCTTAACCCAAAGTCGATTAAATTTTGTAGTTGACTAATGTTTTATATTCCTTATATAGAAGGATGAATGCTTGGATCCCTGAGGGGAACTCATAGCACAGGGAGAAACAGCTCTGGTTAATGAGTTAAAGACTTGTGGCACGGGAAAAGCCACTCAATCTTTCTCAGGTGGTTTTTTCGCGGGGGCGCATTCGCGCAGCGGTACAAGATGGCTGCTCCTTGATACCGCTCCGCACTTCTTGAGCCGTGAGACACCCATTTCTGCTATCGTTTAGCCAGCTGGGTCGGTTCCCCGAGCGGATCGAACACCTACTCACCCCCGGCATCCAGATGAGGTCCCCCAGTCCAAATACAAACGAGGCAAACAACCTCCTGAGACCCCTCGTACGCGCCATGCTCTGGGCAAGATGGCGCCCGGCGGCCTGCATGATGACGATGCCGCTCCTCGCATGTCGGCTGACTCCGAGGACAGCCAGGACCCGTTTGCTGAACAGCTATCGGGATCCCGAGGATCACATGCACCTGACCTCTTCGTGCGGATACGGGACATGGTACAGGAAGAACTTTCCAAGGCCTCCGCAACCATAACCTCGGAGCTCCGGCGGGAAATCAGAGAAATCGGGCACCGTACAGCTTCCTTGGAATCGCGTATGAATGATGTGACCACCATACTGGAAGGCCACGAAAAAGACCTGGAGACCGCCCAGACGGAACTTTCCCTTCTCCGTGACCAGCTGGAGGATCACGAGAACTGGGCCCGGCGCAGTAACATCCGCGTCAGGGGCCTCCCTGAATCCATTGAAGATCTCGTGGACTCGGTCACCGCGCTGTTTCAGGAATTGGCCCCTGACCTTTCTGCGGACCGGTTGGAGATGGATCGCGTTCACAGGGCGCTCGGACCCCAGAGGTCGGACGGACCGCCACGGGATGTGGTGGTTAAGTTACATTACTTCCGCACGAAGGAGCGACTCTTGCAGGCCGCAAGACAGGTACCGGCCTTGTCCTTCCAGGGTCACCCCTATAGCTTGTATTCGGACCTGGCCCGTTCAACCATCTTGAAACGCAGAGTCCTGCGGCCCTACCTGCAGGTTCTCCGGGATGCGGGCATCAACTATAGATGGGGGTTTCCCTTCCGTCTCCTCTTTACATACCAGGGGAAATCCTTCCAGCTCCGGTCTCCTGAAGACGTGCGTTCTTTCCTCCGAGAGATTGGCCTCCAGGTTCCAGCGGAGCCTCCTTCCTCTTCCCCAGGCTCGCAGCCTCGTCAACGGAATGGCCAGGCCTCCCAACGATCCCATTCATCACAGGGCCCACACGATCCTGGCCGCTCACCACGGAGATCCCAGGCCCTGCAACGTTTAGGCTCCCAAGTTTTTCGCAGCAAGCCCAACGGATGATTTACTTCCCTGGTCCGCACACCGCGGCCTTGTATTCTGCCCTTGCTGTTTCAGCCGTTTTGCCGTGTATGTCCAGACGCCCTGACGACCCTTTACCAGGCAGGTACTGCTCCGTGCCCCCTAGGGTGGCTGCGTTTGGCTTACATGAGCATATGCTGACTGTTGGATGCTCCCTTATTTTTATTTTTATTTTTGCTTCTTGCATCACATGTGACCCCGGAGTCCAGTTGTGTTGTTTTGTTTTGTTTTCTGTTTTTTCGTTTTGCTACTTGCTTCAGGACTTCCCAGAATGCCACATGGAGCCCCATACCCCGGCAGATGTTTTCTCTCTGATTTGCTTCGGATTGACAGGACTGGCCAATAGAAGCTCCTAATGACTGCTCAACTGGACTCCCTCAACCCTCCTATGGTGGATTTCTCTCACTTTTTTTTTTAATTATTTTTCCTCCACTGTTTTAGTTGGCTAGATGCAATGATCTTTCATGTACTTAAGGGAGCAGGGATCTGCCCGGTGTCCACTTTGGGAGGGCACCAGTGCTTCCGCATTCCCCATCCCGTGTTTAGAGACGAGCCTGTGTCCCTGTTGCTGGGCTCCTTCAACTGACATCATTACCGGGGTATATCCTTATTCTTACTATCTAGGCCGCCACTGTCCCCTTCACCCTCAGATAGCAACCGCTATCAGACTGCCTTTGCTGGGGTGGGGTTGGTGGATGCCTAGCCTCTCTCTCGTCCGCTTAATTTAGGGAGAATGTAGGCTCTGTATCCTCACCCACCGTATTGTGGGAGGCATACAAGGCAGTGCTTCGTGGGCACATTATTCAGTTAGCATCCCAACGGCGGAGAGACAGGGAGGCTCGTAGATTGGTCCTGGAGGCGGAGTTGGAACGCCTCACTGAACAATGTAAAGTCTCGCCAACGCCTAGACTGCGGGCCAGTCTGGAAAAGGCAAGGGTGGAACTTAATCTTTGCCTCACCGATATAGCTGAACGCCAACTGCGCTGGGCCGGACAGAAGTTTTATGCCCACAGCAACAAACCGGGTGCTATGTTGGCGAAACGCCTTCGTTGCTTTAAGCCAGTTAAACGCCCCATTTCCTTGCGCACGGCGGGCTCAGTTTTAACTAGCAATCCACAAGCTATACTGCAGGAATTCCAGCACCACTTAGCCCACCTATATGCAAAACCACCCCCTTTTGCCTCGGCCGAGGCGGAGACATTTTTCCAAGATTGTCAGCTGCCGGCAATGACGGACTCGCATAAGGAGCTTTTGGCCTCTGATATCACTGAAGACGAAGTGCGCTTAAATCATTGAAATCTAACAAACGAGCTGGGCCGGATGGATACTCTTCCCTTTTTTATAAAAAGTTTACAGACATTGTAGCCCCCCACCTGACCTCCCAATTTAATTATATTAAGCAGGGACATCCGTTTCCTCCTGAAGCCCTTAAAGCGAATATAGTCATGATACCTAAGACCCACATTCCTGGGCTAACTTTAGACCCATCTCGTTACTCAACACCGATGTGAAACTCCTGGCTAAAGTTTTGGCCTCTAGAATTAACACCTTCCTGGGGCAACTCATTCACAAAGACCTTCCCCCACCTGGGAAAATACTACACAGCAGCCCAGATTGCTCCGCTAACTCTGCTACACTCCACCACAGCATTGCCCCAATGGGCTCTCATGGATATAGTTGAATGTGCCCCCCTCCCAATCCACAATTTGTTATGGACTCTTCCCTCCTCACGCCCCCCCATCCAGGACCCCATTTTGCGGTTCAGCTTGAAGCAGTGGGATTCGGTCAAATATACTGCGGGCCTGATGTCTCCCCATCTCCCTCTCTCAGGCATATTCGGGACTCCCTCATTCCCCCCAGCTAATGAGAACGCATCGGCGTTCGTGTGGTGGTCCCGACGACACCCCTTTTACATTAGGGACCTATTGTCTATTGATGGGGTTAAATCCTTCCAACATCTTCGCACTCAATGGAACGTTCCTCTTACAGAGAACTTCCGATACCTACAACTTATGTTACGTCACTTCTCCGATACAGCTCTGGTTCTCCAAGCACCCTTACCCCCTTTGAGTCTCGTTGTTGGTCTGATCCCCATTCAGCGGGCCTAATAACCCTGCTATATGCCTCGTTGGTGCCATCAGTCGGAGAGCAGAAACTTTCCTACATGCTGGCCTGGGAGAGGGACCTGGGGGACTCATTGGACCCACACGCGTGGTCCGAGATTTGGTCGGCGGCGACGAAATGCTCCCCGAATGTTTTGGCCCAGGAAAACGCACACAAGGTCTTGTTCCGGTGGTACATGACCCCGGACAGAATTTCCAAGTTTGCCCCCTCCGTTTCACCCCGTTGTTTCCGGGGCTGTACGGACAGGGGCACCTTATTTCATATATGGTGGCAGTGCCCGAAGGTGCAGAGGTTGTGGATCAGGGTCTATAATTTGCTGAGGTCAGTTCTCGGTGCAATCATTGTCCGTAGTCCTTGGGAGGCCCTCTTGGGTAGGCCGGTCACTCACCTTCTGAAGAGGGAAAGGAACTATTGCTAGAGCCTGGAAGCAGCCCACGTTGCTTATTTCAGAAGTCAAGCAGCGAGTCATGGGTATTATGGTGCATGAGAAGCTTACGGCTATCCTACACGACTCGTATGCCTCCTTTCAGAAAACATGGTCGCCCTGGCTGGACTATGTACAGCCGATGGGACTGGATCGCGACTTATTGGCCCTCTGATTGGGATTTACCCGGTCAGGGCGAGCTGATTTCCCTTCCCCCCCCCGATTCCCCATGCGGCCCCCCTCCTCTTCTTTCTTTTCCTCTCTTTGTATGTCCTTTTCTCTTGTCTTTTGTTCTTTTCTTCTTCACTTGCCTAAGGGTTCTTCTAAAGTTTTGTGGGAACCCATCCCGGATGTCACGGAATGATGGCAAAGATATGGTATGCTGCTTTATCACCCAATAGTGGGGTTATGCTGGCGTCCTGCTGCAGCAGCAGCAGCAGGTAGCTGGCAGCCCCGCTCCGGGCCTTAAGCAGGGGCTAGCCCACCCGAGGAGCCTATGCATAGGTTATCCTGGATTTATTAGATTTCGCACGGGCTCATGAGTGGGAGGTCCTTTGTTTTCCGCAGATGTCATATTATGTCCAGATTTATGGTGATGCATTGCACTAGCTATTATATGACTGTCATGCTGTAACCCATCAGTGAACCGTTCTAATAATGTACCGTGATGTTTTTTTCCCACATGCGCCTTTTGGCATTGTTTCCTTGTGGATGGAACGTATTTCTGTTTTTTCCTAAATAAAAAATACTTGTACAACAATCTTTCTCAGGTGTCCTAGGTACTGAATTTCCTATACCTTGCTTTTTTTTTCTAGTTGACCTATTCTTTATATAGATTTATTGATTTGGTCCCAGAGACAAGGTGATACCTCTTAAGGTGGCTATACATTGCAAATTGTGCCTGGTGCCTGGTGCCCGGCTGAAATTCGTATTGTGGGTGCTGCTGTCAGCACCCTTTTCGACCAGCATCCCTAGATCAGCTGATCAAAGGGGCCAGTTGGAAAATCTTTGTACAAACAGAGCTGGCAGCTCATTGGCTAAGAGTAACAGCTCTGGCCAGTGCATTCAAAATAATTCATCCAATTAATCTGAGTGAACGGCTTATGGATCTGGGCAAGCCACTTTACTTTCCAAATGTCCCAGATAGTATAGTTCATAACGCTTAGTGGTGTTTTTTTTAGCTGGCTTGATTCTGAATATTTTAAAATAAGAGAATCATTGCTTGGGTCTCCAAGAGGGTAAGTAATACCTGTTGGAGCCGATCAAATTAATATCAATGGAAAAAGATTTGATATAAAGGTGTTTCTTGATATCCTACACTGAATGAACACGTGGCTGTGTGATACGCAAATAAGGACCATCAAAGGTTTCTTGGGGCAGGGACGCTGATGAATGAAGAAGTGCCGGACTGTCTTATCTCCTGGGACGAGCC